CGTTAGGAATTTGACGAAAAATGTTTTCTTTCCGATTCGGTCCTAYTAGCCCTGTACACTTTTGTACCTCCCTCCCTCCCCATCGGATCTGTATTTATAGTTTTTTGTTTTTTGTTTGAAATTTGTTTTGTAATAGCACAAGTGTCTTTTTCCTATCTAAAATTTGCGAAAATAACCAAAACATTCGGCTGGTATTAGTATCGGCGAATGACCTCTTAACTCGAGAACACTATGAGTGGTCTCCAACAGTAACATTCTCTTCTCGATCATGGTTAGTTTTTTAAAGCCGTTATTGGTATGTTTGCCCTATTTAAAAAAAGTAGGCATGAGTAGAAGGACGTTTGTTAGGACTACCAAGGGCTGAGTTGAATTGATCRTCGAGTCAGATTCCATTCCTCACGAGAACAAGGCTTTGTTACAGACAACTTTTAAGAACGTGGTTGTGTTGGTAAAGCTCAAACTAGTACATTAGAAATTCGTCCGATAGTATTTGAGCAACCCATGTCATCGACAAGCACTATTTTCACCGTCTCTACAATCATCCCACTGAACGACTCCACAAGTACGGAGACCAGAAATGAAGAACAAAACAAAGYTCCTCAAACTATAGCTTTAGTTTTTCTGATAATCCTGAGCCTAGTTGCTAACATAAGTGTCAGCGTAGTGGTRCTCAGAGATAGAGAACTACGTCTGTCAGTACGAAACCTAGTTCTCGCAAGTCTTGCATTTTCAGACCTTCTGATGAACGAGGTGATGTTATTCTGTCTTTTAAGCTTGGTCGGAGTTATCACTGACCTCCAGAAACAAGTTTGCACCGTGTTCACAAGGCTGCATGGCATTCTAGTGTATGTAAACGTGCTTCATTTGTTTATTTTAAGCATCGATAAATACGTGGCTGTTTTTTATCCCTTACGATATGCGCAGAAAATCACAGTTAAAAGACTTGTCATGGGTTTATGTGTGGTCTGGATTGTTCCTGTTATCACGATTGGGCTTGCTCCTGAAATRATGGATGGAASACCTAACTATCATTCATCGACCACCATCGTGGAATGCATGAACTTTCCTGCTTACAGTACAAGCGAAAGACAGCGGAATTATATATTTTCAAATGCAGTGTTCTTGTTTGGGATTCCGTTGTTGTGCATGCTTTTGACCTACTTAAAAATCGCGAAAGTGTCTTGGTATCAGTCCAACCGTGTTGATCATGAGCCGAGAAATGTGGTGACAAGATCTCCCAGTGCGAGAACCAGAGTGCGGGAAATGAAGTGGGCAAAAACTATAGGTAAATGAAGCAATAGTAAAAGAACGGTTTTCGTATGAGTGGGGAACGTAAKGTACTGACAAACAGCATGCCGTAACATTGACATGGCTTCCCACGGTCTTCCAGTAATTCATCCAACCATAACGCGTCGAGTTACGATTAAAGTAAGATATGTTTTGCTACAAATTTGCGGTATCGTTTCCTACTTATACGAAAACCATTCTAATATTAATGAGAGGCTTTTATGATCGCAGTCTTCCAGTAATTCATCCAAATCATAACGCGTAGTTACGATTAAAGTAAGATATGTTTTTCTACAAATTTGCGGTATCGTTTCCTACTTTCCTACCGTTCTAATATTAATGAGAGGCGGTTATCGAGTTTTCAGTGGTGCAAATATTAAAAGCCAGCTCGCATAAATGAAGTATATGTCACTGGTTTGGATTGGCATCCACCAAAACTCGAGTTCACTGYATCAGAGCTCGGTCCGTCGGTTGTTTGTCAATAGCACGAGTCCATTACTAGTGTATGCATTACCGGGTCATAAGCATCAACTGATAAGGTTGGTTCTTAGAGTTCTTCTGTGTAGCGGCAAATTGTAGCGCATTAAGAGAGTCAACCGGAGCGCAGTTTTCAAAAACAAAGAGCGGAACAGCCTCTGTTGAATAACACGAATTCAAGAGACCTTTGAGATTTTTYGTACTGAGCAAAACGTGGGCTCTCAATTAACAGTTAGGTTAAAATACTCATTGACGTTGCTTTCTGTTCGACTCGAGGAATTCGCTTCAAAATTAGACCCGTCTGTGACTCTGGACTTTAAAACTTATGGTCGAATTTCTCGTGCGCCTCAACAGTTTACAAACCTAGCCAAGACAAGTAAAATGAGCTTGCGATTAATATTGTTATTCAACTAGAATCATTTCCCGTAAGGATGTGCGTAAACGCAAATGTGTTTTCTAACGAACATCAGGTGCAAAAAGTAAATGCTTTAGATTGAGAAATTGAAACCGTTAAAAGACAGCACCGTACTGTAACGAGAGCCGGGAGAGTACTATCAATTATCTTTTTGTTTACAAAATATACTTATCAGTTTAGGTTGTTTTGTTTTCCGCTAACGATTTTGCTGTCAAAGGTGAAAGAATTCTCTGAAATTTCAACTACCTATGTGACGCATTTTCGACGGCTTCATTAAAARCCACCCCCAGCGAGTTTTATTTTTTGGTGTGATCTAAATTTGGTAACACAAGCGACACAAGTGAATGCATCTAATTCACAGATAACTCTTAACCCTTAAYATTTCAAAACAAAGTCAGATTCAAGTACTTATTTTTTTCCTTTGGCTCGATAAACACCCGCATAGTTCTACAACTGTAGTCAAAATTATTTCAATTTCTACCTCGTAGACAATATTTAGCTAAAATAACAACTTCCTGCGAGTAAAATAACTTKGAAGTTGATCATTTCGGCACCTATCGTGAGCTACGTGAAGAGTCGGCAAGTGGTGAAAACAACATATAATTCCAGTGGAAAAGTATATGGAAAATAGCAGAGATTAGAATGTTTTTAACTAATCTGTTTTCAAAACGGTTCTTTCCTATGAAGCATTATTAAAACTAATACTCTTTTTGGAGGGCAAAACAAAGTACATCTCAAACAAAACTGTCGCTTTTTGTCTATCTCATGGATGAAGCAGAAAACGTCGCGTTTCGGTGCGATAAATAAATGTCATTCAAAAAATTGAGTGAATGCACATTTTTAGCATTTCTTTACTGAAATATATGAAATAAAAAATGRGTGTGGCCGACTTTCTTTTAGAGATATGAGAGTTTGAAGACATTTTCTTGATATTTTGTTCATCAAAAAAATCGAATGACGTCGAATGCGAAAAAGGGATGCGCGTGAATAATACCCGCGAAGATTGGGAGGCGAGGCTGCGGTGCTTTTTGATCTCGCACAATAATTCAGCCCCACAAT